GAAACCTGCTCTATCCTGTGCCAACCTTTTTTGTTTCTGACACACTTACCCCTACTACCGCAGTCACTGAAACAATCCATCTCATCGAGGGTCCTCCTCTCTTGCCCTGTCCCTCCACCCTCCTGAGCATGATGTCCCTCTCCAGGGACTGGTGATGAGAAAGTAGAGATGTTATTTTGTGGTAGGCAGTGACATTTCCTTCCTTACCTCTGTGCTTCTTTCCTTTTCTCCTTATCTCCATCCTTCCTGTCAATCTACATGCTGTCATCCCCTTTCTCATCTGTACTCAAGGTTTGTCAGGCGCTTACTAATGCTTGCATGTGATATTAATGGCATTGTTAGTAGTTTACACATTCAGTTTGATCATCTTTCTTTGGAATGGGAAAAAAAATTACTTCTTCCAGTCTGTTGGCCAACTGCCGTCCTCCAAATTTAACGATATAGGCCAGTGAGTGCATCCAAGGCTGCATCACATGCAAGTGAAATATTGCTGAAGATCATTCAAAAATGGATAGAACAATGTATAGATAGGGAACTTCCAGAAGTCCAAGTAGGATATAGAAGAAACCATCTCCGGTGTCAGAGGGATCTCGGCTGAAAGTAAAGCATACCAGAAGAATGTCTATTTGGGCTTTACTTACTATGCAAAGGCTTTTGACTGTATGGGTCATAACAAGTTGTGTCTGCTATTGAGAAGAATGGGAGTCCCAGAGCACTTAATTGTGCTTATTCAAAACCTATAACTGGATCAGGAGGCTATTGTGTAAACAGAGCAGGGGAACACTGCATGGTTTAAAATTAAGAAGGGAGTGTGTCAGGATTGTCTTCTTTCTCCATACCTATTTAATCTGTATGGTGAGAAAATTATTCAAGAAGCTGGACTCTGAAGAGGACTGTGCCATTTGGATCAGAGAGAGACTCATCAATAACCTGCATTATGCAGATGACACAACCTTGCTTGCTGAGAGTGAGGAGTACTTGAAGAACTTGTTGCAGATTAAGGAATACAGCCTTTTGTATGGTTTGCATATTAATGTTAAGAAAACAAAGATTCTTACCACTGGACCAATTGGTAATATAATTATAAATGGAGAAGAGATTAAAACAATTTCATCTTACTTGGATCCACAATTAACACCTTTAATATCAGCAGTAAGGAAATAAAGAATGCATTGCACTGGAAAAATCTGCAGTTAGGGACGTCTCCATATTACTGAGGAGTAACGATATCAATTTGAGAACTAAGGTGAGTCTGATTCAGGCCATAGTCTTTCCAATTACTTGCTATGCATCTGAGAACTGGACAATGAATAAGGGTGAAAGAAGAAGAATTGACACCTTTGAGCTGTGGTATTGCAGAAGAACACTGACTATGCCATGGATGGCCAAGAGAATAAACATATGTGTCTTTGAGAAGGTGTAGGCAGAATGCTCTTCAGAGGCAAGAATAATAAGGCTTCATCTCACGTACTTGGGGCATGTTGCAAGGAAGAACTATTCCTTGGAGGGTAGGTAGGATGTAGGGTCAGCAAATGAAAAAACCCTGGACCAGGTGGATTGACGTAAGTGACTGCTGCAATGGGCTCTTGTGTATCAGAAAGTGTGAGGATGGAGCAGGAGAGAGCAGAGTTCAGATCTTCTGTTCATACTGCCATATGAATCAAACTTGAAGGCACTTAAAAACAATGTAGCAATGCTAGGCAAACATTTCCCTTCAACATCCATAGAAACATCACTCCTATATTGCAAAGCTATAATCCTACCCAGTTCATCTGAGTTTCAGGCCAAACTTGGATTATATGTTAGTTTTCAGTTTTGAGGTGAATCTTATAGAAGTTTTTAGGAGTGTGTCTTAGTTATCAAGTCCTGCCATGACAAAGATAAAACAAGTAGATATTTTTAAAAAAAACCTAAGTTTTTGTCTTACAGTTTAGAAGGGTGCTGACTTTCTCTCTGTCAGTTCTGGAGGAAATCTAGTTTTTTGTCAACATCTGTAGGTGTAGCAATCCTTGGAGATCTCCTCATCTGGAAAGGAGATCTTGGAAGGATCTTACCTTGGAAGGAGGTCTTGGTTTTCCCTTTGTCCCAGCACAGGGATCCGAATCCAAAGGAAGAACTCCACTCCTGGCAAGTCTTTCCTGGTCACACTGAGGTTCCCTTCCTCCCCAATCCTATTCATTTCTCTCACCTTTAATCTCTCTATTATACAAAAGGTGATGTAGGCTACAATTCAGGGAAATTCCATTTATAGCATATCAAGGCTGTGATCTAATTAAAGATATTACCTCCCACTCTGATCTGCTTTCAACTGATTGGTACTCACATCTCAGATCTCATCATGAAGAATGAATACATTATTCTATAACTGCCTCTAATTCTGCCTCAAAGACATCATAAAGGTTAAGATTTACAAAATATAATAGTTGCATTGTACAGACAGACATTGACTGAATCCATGACAGACTGAGAAGACTGATCAGGAACATCAAAACCTCTGATTTGTTCACTGTTCGTAATTATTGATTAGTGATTAACCTTTTTTATGTCTCTCCACATCCATCTTCTGTAGTGAGACTCAAGACTGTTTTGAATATGCATTATGTTATGACTGGAAAATGACTCTCAGTTACTCTGGAAATGTTAAGTTCAGGAAATAGTAATGCTTCTGAGGAAGCATATTTACAAACATTCAATGTCTCTTAATGACTCTATCATTTGACTAGTTTCCAAGCTTTGTGATCAGGTTAAATGATGAGTAGCATGAGGTTATATGCTGTTGAGTTGACTACAACCCATAACCACCCTGTGCAGTTTTAAATTGCCTGCTAACCTCAAGGTTAGTGGTTCAAGTGCACTCAGGGATTCATTGGAGAAAGACTTGGTTGTCTGTTCCTGTAAGATTGCAGCCTAGAAAACTCTATGGGGCAATTTCACACTGTCATATGAGGTCATTATGAGTCAGAATTGACTTGATGGCCTTGGGGCTTATCTGATTGGAGATTAAAAGTAACCTCCAGATTTCACTGCTCATACCACATACAAGGACACAATTGGCTAATCCCCTGGTTGTTATCCACTCTTCTGGCAGCATTTATGCCATTTGAAACAAATAAATGAATCTTAAAATCTAGTCAATTACTAAAGTATAGGTTTACTTACTAGTGGAGTTTTAGAAGATGAAAACAATCTTCTTCCAAAGAGAAGGCTTCTTAGTACTCTGCCTGCTTTCTTACAGCAGCAGTCTGTCATATGTGAGTTGAAACTTACATTTTTGTCACCACCAAGTATTTTTTATGGTTCTATTGCTGAAGGACCTATGAACATTGTTTATCCATTGTTCTCTGAAATATCCTACTACACTTTGCCAGAACATTTGCAGTTTACTATCTAACAAATATGCTACCTTTGAGACATTAACTGAATCTGAATTCCTTATCTCTAACCTTTCTGAAACTTCATCTGACATACTTTAGACCTGTTGCAAGGAGGAACCAGTCTTTGAAGAAGGACATCATGTTTGGGAGAGTGGAGGGACAGCACAGGAGAGGGAGACCCTCAATGAGATGGGTTGATTCAGTGATTGGAGCAGTGGGAGCAGGTATCTCAGAGACAGTGAGGTTGTCACAGGATAGAGCAGGGTTTAGGGCTGTTGTACATAGGGTCACTATGAGTCACAAGCGACTCGATGATACATAACAACAACCTTTCCAGGGTATTCTCTTTAAGAAGAGTAAGTAATAATTAATTTCCCTGTAATGCATACTTTTAGATACTTCTGTTGAATGATTCTTATCCTATACCATTTTTTTCATGGGTTTTCTTCATGACCTAACTTTTCTTACAGCCCATTTTTTTAAAGACCGTGAGAGAGGCAAGCAGTTTATCAGCCAGAATATCTGTGAGCAAAGAACTTGAAAGTCAGAAAAATCACAGCACTGAGAGAAATCCTAAATTAATAAGGTTTTCGCTTTGGAGGGACTGTTGAAAATCATGTAACCTCAGATGAGAAACATGAGGATTTAGGTTCATATAAAAATTCTAAATCCCAGGGTCCAGGCTCCTAAACCAGTGTAATCTCTAATATGTCTTACTGTTCATCTTTCTATAGGCAAGAAGATTCCCAGAAACCACCAAATGCTTATTATCTTGATTTTTGTATCAGAAAAAAAGCCTCTAAAATCTTCAGAAACTTCTAGTATCTAATAATTTTTATCCTCAGCAAGATTTTTTTTAAGGTCCCTGAAACTGCTTGGCCTTGATAACTATTTTTATTTCTTAACCCAGTTTCACTTAGTAGTTAAACCAAATAAGGTGTTTCTACAAGCTGTAACCTTGGCATCTGAAAATTATTTTCTTCCTTCAGGATATGATTTTTCATTTCCTTAGTGGAGAGATAATTGGGTTTTTTTTTTCACTGAATATCCTAGAATTTCTCCCAAGAAAGGAATAACTCAACAGCAACATTTCCTTTGTATTCAGTTTCTCATCTCTAATATAACCAGTTAATATTGTGTTTTATGTAAAAAATTAATTTTTTCATTAGCACTTGATATTAAAATGTGTTATTTTTCTAAGTAGATTTCAAATGTAATATAAAAACTTTGATTTTCACTTGAAAAATTGTATTCTCGTACTAAAAGTATTGTACTTAGACATTCTAATGAGATTATTTGGGCTTGCAATGAGCATAAACTGTTTTTATTAAATTTATTTTGACCTATTCACAAAGGTATTTTAAGTAGGTTTTTTTCTGAAATTTCAACAGTTTCATTTTGCCAGCTGGATATCATGCCTGTCACTTAATGTGCCTTCTTGCTTGTTTTCCTTGGTTTTTAATTACATAAGGAAAATATCTTCTGATACTGTGTGGTTCTGGGGAGTTTTAATAACTTTCATTGCAGTACATTTAGCTCTTTGACCAATCAACAAACATCTTTAATACTCATGTGCTTTGATTCTTGGACAATCCAAGAGTTCCGAACCTGCACCCTTTCTTTCAGTCCCCAAGCAGGTACCTCATGCTCCTCCCAAGCCAAAACCGTCAGCGCATCCAAGAGTCCCACAAACAAAGCCAGGTAAAAGAAATGAATTATTTTTTTTCTTGAAAAGTTTTAGTTATTCTGTTGAATTAAAGCAAGCATGACTGCCAATGCTTCAAAAGCAGAATTACTGGGTTCCTCTATAACTTAAGAAATATTTCTATTTTTTAGTATGTAAAATTATATTATTCAAAAAGCGTGTTACACAAATTGTGTCTAATGGTTGTTACATTAGTTGGGATGTATATGGAGAAGAATTTAATTGCTTAGGGTCGCCATTCTGCTCCCTTGGCTTTTCTCAACTTTTAAAAAAAAAAAAAAATTACTGGTTTATTTACAAAATTGTAATGCATTATTTTTCAGACCAGATTCTTCCAATTTCTCTCACCCTCCACCCATCAAATTGTACAACCCCTTGATTAATCCCCCCCACACACACATCCTCATCCCTCTGCTTCCACCCTTTCCCCCCTCCTTGGATATTCATATTCATTCTACAATAATGGTTTTACACAATACTTTTTCTTGTGGGGCTGAGTTAGTTCACTCAGTATAATGCTCTCCAGTCCTAACTTTTTAATATCCTTTCTCTTTTGCATTTACTATCCTTAAATATACAACCCCTGCCAATCATCTCATTTTAGATGTATCCTTTATACACATCCTGCTTCCAAAAAGAGTCTAAGCTGCACTCACCTACTATTCCTAGAAATGAAACTTCACCATCACTAATAATCTGATGAAAAGAAAATATTAGAAGCATCAACATTATGCTTAATCCAAGGATTGTTCTGAACTTGTACCACAGATCCTGTGATTATCTTTCAGGATCTCTACTGTGGAGGAAGAGAAACGCATGTGGTTTTAGGTGTGTTGAACGTAACTGGGAGATACTGAAACCAAATGACTCATGTTCTGAGTTCTCTCTTTCAGCTCCTAAGGTGTCCCAGCGTGTCACTCCAAAACCAAAAACACCATCAAGCCCAGGAGTGCCATACACCACACCTGGTAAATGTTTTCTTTTACATTTAAACCAAATGCATTCTATCACCACATGCTGCTGTGGTGCAACATGAGAGCTCATGGAATTGGGAGGCAATATTTTATTTATGTTCAAACACCATGTTTTCAGAGACTTCATAAGAGTTGTCCAATTGCTTATGTAAAGCTAGTGCAACAATCAGAAAGCTGAAATTTGCTTAAAAAAATCAAATGTCTCTTCTAGAACTATGTACTCTTATTCTTTAACAATAGTAACATGTGAGTGTTGCTCAAACATGTCACCAAATGCAGAAGATTTTTAAAAATCCACAAAAATTTTAAAGCAGTGTTTTCCAACCTAAGGAAAGGATGTCTAACTATTCTTTTAGTTTCTGAAATTTTTCTATGTCCAGCTTTGAGTTGATTTTTCTGCCAAATGTTTTTTCCCCAAGTTTATGAAGCAATAGCTTGGCTTAAAAAGTTTCTTTAAAAAAATGATTACTGTTGCTACAAATACATTTATTCCTTGTCCATCACTCTTAGAGGGCCTTATGTCTTTTATTAATGAAGTGATTTTGTATTTGTGGACTTGGCCAGTGGGTTTCAAGGACCCAGATATTTTCTGGGACTATGGAGCAAACAGTTAGTATAGTTGGATGCTAAACAAAGACTGGTGATGAAAATTCACATAGAGATGAATCAGAAGAAAGACTTGGTAATTTACTTCCCCCATAAAAATAAAATCAGTCATTGAAAACCCCACGAAGTATGGTTCTAGTCCGACACACACAGGATCACTATGAACCAGCAGCAACTCCATACCAATTGTTACTATTGTTCTTTACCCAAGCTCCTCACATAGCCTTCGGGGGCCACTGTTACCATATGATCTCTGACAAGTCAAGCCAACCTCCTTTTTATCTTAAGAATAGAAGAAATCCTATCAATTATTTTTCTTTTCTTTCAAAAACACAATGACAATAAAGGTCTAGGTGCTCCTACCAGTCATATTAAACTTTTCAGACCAATAGATTTCATCACCATCTCTCTCATGGCACTGTAGGAGTCACCCCACGTTCACGTGTCTATCATGGTTTCCAGATTGTGTAAATGGAAAGCATTATTGTTGCTGTGGTATAGAAAGAACAGTTGATTCTGGTGGCACTAGGATAGAAAAAGGCTCCTTGCTCAAATTTAGAATTCAAATTTGTACTACTAAAAACCACCACAAAGATTACCAGCCTCAAGTAAGGGAAGGAGCAGTTGCAAAAGGTCAGCGTTTTCACTTCAATTAAAAAAAATTTATTGAAATTGAGTCATTAAAGATAACAGAATGGATAGATTTTATTTACTTTTTTTTCATTAGAGAAGTTAGTACTACTATTTCTGATGTGACTTAATCTCATCACATCACATCAAAATGTCTAATAATTAAAATTTTTTGTTTCTTTAATGTTTAATATTTCCTACAATACACCAATATCTTGTTTCTTCACTCTTTAGAAGTTTGACTAATCACGAGGTAACTGTCAGTATGTTTTCATTTCCAACCTATGACTTTATTTTCCTGCTAATGGATTAGAACACAGAGGGTAAATCAGATGTACATTTAATATGCATTTAGTACCCATAAGAAACAGATTCTTCTATTCAAGTACAATGCTGAATCCAAAACAAAGATATGTTGTATCATTATGTTTATCACAGAATTCCAGAAATGCCATATATAACTTTTAATTTTCTGGACCTGTATCAGAATAGAAAGTAGGCCTAGGATCCATTATACAGTGGTTCTTTCTATAGATAGATCCCCTGGTATAACATGAGCTTTATCCAGTTAGGTCTTTAATGAAAAAGATCTTCTAGTTGGTCAGGAATTATCTGTTAACCTTAATGGGAAAATCTAGACAAACTACATCTATACACTCTGTCCAAACCTTGCATCATTCCAGATCTGCTTTGCAGGCATGCTTTAAAACTCTACTCAAAGGACTGCCTTGATAACAATGGATGCCACTTGATTTGGGCTGCCTGGTTCTGCAGCTCTGTGCCTTCCATGTAGATTTGCTTTCTTTACTCTTGGCTTTGTGCTTACCCTCTTGGCACTTGGGCATTTGGATAGACTTTAGTCATTGGGAACAAACCAGAAGAAAAGTTTTCCAATCCTCCTACATCTCTGTATCTCTGTTGTCTTTAATAAATTTTCCAGTCCTTCTTTATATTCTATATCTCTACTGTCTTTGGTTAGTTCGTATTTGCAGCCAGACACATCAGCCCTTTTGTGGCTAGTTTTACATTATCAGTTACAAGGGATTCTATTTGTTAGGTTTTGGTTTTGTGTTGGTTTGTTTTGTGAGCAACTGAGGATCTATGTTTCACTCTAGATATTTCCTAAAACTGGTCTCCTTTTAAAAATAATAGTTGAATTAGAATTTATGAATCATTTGCTTGGTTTACATACTTAACAATATTGTTTACATACTTAACAATAACAAGTTGTTTTTACACTAAGGAGAACCATAAGCCATGAACATGGGTGCTCATTAATAGGTTTTGGGTTTTGTTATGTGGTCTTGGAAGATAATACACTTAGAAGTAAGCAAGCCAAGGTAACAACAGGTAATACTTCACTAATTTTTATTTTTATCCAATGAAGAGTGAAAACAATCAGAACAGAGAATCATTTCCTTTAGAGTGGTCCATTTTCATTCTTTATAATCCATATAATCTTCTAGTGTTTTTGTCATTGTTTCCTAAAATTATATTTCCCCCCAAAAGATAAATTATATGTAGCTTTATTGTTTGTTAGGGAGCTCTAGTAGTGATAAGAAGTTACATTGTCAACCCAAAGACAAGCCGTTTGAATTTACCAACTGTTCCACGTGAGAAAAATGGGACATCTCTTCCCAAGCAATTTACAGCCTCTAACAACCTGCTGGATGGTCAGTTATAAGTTGGTTCCAACTTGACAGCACAAGACAACAATGACCTTTGTTAAAAGAACTGGTTCCAAGAGGGTGTGAAGGAAGTTCTTTAGTGAGTCAGGAGTTGGTCTGCCAACCCAAACACATGCAGTCCGAATTCACCAGCTGCTCTGTGGGAGTAAGATAGGCTGTCTCCTCCTCTGATATTTTCAGCCTCTGAAAACCTGCTGGAGCATTAGGTATGAGTTGGTTTGACTTGATCGCAATTTTTTGTTTTGAGATACCAAGATGTCTTCTCAAATATAAGGATAAAAATTAGGAGTTACCAGTTACTAGCAAGTATCAGTAGTTTTTTAATGTGACTCATGATACTTTAAATATGAATGTCCTTGTCCTTTAACTTTTATGTTTTGCTAATTCAACACCTTCCTCAAACCCTCAAGTTCAAATGTAACTAGATTTCACTAGATTCTTAGCGTAAAGTGAGTCCATTATAGTGTTGACTTCATAAAGGACATTTTAAAAATGTTTACTACATTTTGAAAGTGAACTAGAGAGACTTTAAAAAGATGGCCATTTGTGTCATCAGAATTGCTATTCAGCAAAGTCTAATGCTGGTTCATTCAAAAGCTCCCAAAACACCAACATATGTTCAAGTTTACAAATACTTACTGGTTAGCTTCTATATACTGATTCTGGACTTTGGGGAATAGAGATACTAGATATGAACACAAACATCAAACCCAGGGCAGTGGAAGATACAGGAATAAATCAAAATAACTTTAAAATAGTGTGATCATAATGCAAACAAAATGCAATATAACAGGGAAGTAATAAATTAAAAATATATTAGTTGTAAAAGTCATTATCAAGGGAAATAACTTTCTGTTGGATTTTTAGAAACAAATAAGCTTGTAGCTATTTGTGATTTCTGAGAAAGCAGCCAAAAATAAAGGCAAATGCACTTTCACGAAGTAGATTCTGACTCACAGTTTACGTAGCTATAAATCTTTACAAGAAGAAATTGCCCGTTTTTCTTTCACAGAGCTGCTGGTAGATTCAAACCACTGACCTTGGGTTAGCAGTGCAACACTTAATTCATGTCATAGCCAGTGTTGCTGATACAAAAGTAAAGAAATGGGCGTAAAAGTGTCCATGAGTAGCAGCAGTAAAAGGTCACAATGATAAATGCTGACAAATGAGTATTGGGTAATAAAAATTCTTAAAGTCAATTTGATTTAAAAATGTTGAAGATGTTTTACATCATGCCAAGAACTATAGCTCTGCAAGGAGCTCTGGCGGTCTAATGGTGAGAAGCTGGGCTGCAATCCCAAAGTTCCATGGATCGAATCCACCAGTTGCTCTGTGGAGAGAGTGCAAATCACACTCCTCTCGTGTGATTTACTTCCTCTGAAAACCTGCTGGAGGGTCAGTTAGAGGTCAATTCCAACTCAGTAGCATACAATAACAATAATAAAAACTACAAAGGAAGGTCAGGTTGCATAATTCATAGAACACTACTGCTAGGCAAAGGCTGAGCTTTTCTGGTAATTTAAATCCACTAGCTGGTCTACAGGCAAAAATGGGCAAGTCTCTCGGGACATTTATAGACTTGGAAACCTCTGGAGAATCAGCTATGAGTCAGAACTCATTCAATTTGCAGTGAGAGGAACAATGGGTAGACAGTAGAAATGTGGGGTTACTTTTTTTTTTAATAGTGTAAGTGATACCACTGGATCTATAGTTGATAAACATAGTTGTGATTAACAAAATTTGAGGATACATAATAAAAAGAGATTGGCAGCACAGACTTAGTTACTTTTTAAAAAATAATCTTAAAGGATAACAGAACTTGAACTAAAAGTGATAGGGAACAATTATTTTGAAATATATTTTGGACATGGAATTACTAGGACTTGGAGACCATCATGACTAGAAAAGGAGCATCAGTGGAAAAGGAGGAAAATTGTCAAGAAGAGGGATTTATATGAGGATGGGCAGTATTTCATTCGATTCCCTATGAGTCAGGACCAAGTCAATGGCATCTAACAACAACAGAGAATGAATGATGTTGAAGAGGATGTCGTGACACTGTAATTTCTAGCTTTGACAAGTTGCGGATAATGTAGCTGCCTAAGTGGTAAACTAAGACAGGAAATGTGGAAGGAGGAATGTAGATGGGATTGCAGATTTCTGTATTCGAAAGATAAATGGCAAATGGATTTGAGATAGGACTAACTTTCAGGTTGTTTAAAATATATTTCTGGAGTTCTAAACAGAATTCAGGATTTAGAATGTGAACGTAGTAGTCATCTATCTACATGTAGACCCATTACCTTTTAATTAATTCAACTCAGAGCTAATTTCTGTTGGGTTTAGGAGGCTATGGGAAGACACTGCCCATCTTTCTCCCATGGAGCAGCTGGTTCAAATTGGATTAGAATCCAGTTAGCACAATATGATATTAACATGATGTCTTTTTCCAGTGACTAGCATTTCCTGACAACATGTCCAAATATGTGAGATGAGCTCTCACTATCCTTGACTCCAAGGAACACCATGGCTGTACTTTTTCCAAGACATATGTTTGTCCTTTTGACAAACCATGGGATAGCCAGCACTTTCTTCAGTACCACAATTCAAAGGAACAGGGCTGAAGCCTGACCTCCTTAGATTGGGCTTTGAAGGGGCTCTGGTGGTTTAATGGCAAGAAGCTGTGCTGCAGTCCCAAAGGATTGTGGTTCAAAACAGTCTTAGTGTAAAAAAATGTATGTAAATCCGCATATATTTCTTTTCTTTAAGAATCCATCTCTTTGCGACCTATTGCAGAAGTACACTTTAATGGATGCTTTGCGCTCACCATCTTCAAGAGATAGTACCAAAACTCAAGAAACAAACTCATTGGCAATGAGATCATTCCAACTCTTTGTAACCCTGTAGGAAGAGAAGAACTTCCCGATAGGGTTTGCAAGGCTGTGATCTTTACAGGGGCCCTTGTGGGGCAATGGATTAAGAATTAAGCTGCCAATTAAAAATGTGAATGTTAGGCTGCTAATTAAAGGATTTGCACCTCCTAGTGTGGCTTCAGTGGAGAAAGATGAGGCAGTCTGCTTCCATCAAAATTAAAACTCAAACCAAACCCTCTGCCAGCAAGTCAATTCCAACTCATCGCCCCCCTACATCAGAGTAGAAATCTTTACATGAGAAGACTGAAAAAAAGAAAAAAAGAAAAAAAAATTTAAAAAAAAAAAAGACTGCCCATTCTTCCAAGAAGCTACTGATGGCCTCCAACTACTGAACTTCTAATGAGTGGCACAGCTATCACATTATACCAACAGGGCTTCTTCCATGATGATTATAGCCTTTAAAATGCTGTGAGGCAATTCTTCTATTTACTCTGTTTGCTATGAGTTGGAATCAACTCAACAGCACACTACAGCAAAAACAGACCATGAGAAGAATGATTCACGTTCCTTTTCTGTGAATAGTCCTAGTTCTTTCCTTTCTACCAATTTCATCTGCTTTAGAAAGTCTGTGATGGCAGTTTATTAAATCAATCAAGTGCCAACTGCAGCAGCAGGAATCCCTATTACCTTAGACGAACATTTTTCAGTAAACTAAAAGTAGTAGAGAGTAATGCATTTACAGTATGGTGGATTTATTAGTGTCACTTCTCTTTACAGTTTCTCTTTTCCTTAATCCCAGCTCCTCTTTGTATAGTCTACACTATAACTAGAGTAGCTATAAACTACAGGCTGTTTGATGCGTGTGACTTTTGCAGCATCAACTCAAAGTGCCTTCTCCTTCAGCCTCTAGATAAACATTTAACTTGATTTACAACTGGAACTTCTTAAGCCTTTGCCATTTGAATTCCCAAAAGCTTTACATGACAAATGTGGAACAGTTGACTTGTCTGGCAAGTTTTCTCAACTTTGCAACCTTTTTGAAATTGTCTTTTTCTCTTAGAAAAAAAATACATATATTTTCAAATGCCCTTGGATGCTGCATTTTAACTCATGGAAGTTTAACAAAATCAAGATTTTATTCAAAGTACTAAATTCTACAACTATAATTTAGCCAGTAGCCAGTAGCTTAGACTGAGAACTAATGAGGTATGCAGTTAAAAATATCCTTGAAAGCAAGCCCAAAAAGAGAATGTCTGTTTTATATCATTCTACACTGATGGTAAAGTGGTCTTTGTTAAAAAAGTTTTCATCATCTTTCTCTGAGACAGAGTTCTATCCCAAATCCTAGTTTCTCCCAAATTATCATAAAATACAGTAAAATGACACTGATTGCCAAAGATACTCTGGTTTTTATGAAGTCTCTGGTTGTTTTATAACACCTTTAGGTAAGAGAGTAGAGATGAACAACTACGTCCTTGTCAGAAAACTGAGTTTACACTTCCAACAAGTACTTCATCCTCCACTCTGAAGACTTTGCCCTGGAAACCTGGTACTAGCAAAATACATATCACCTACATATTTGCTTTAGTGGGAAAGAAGATGGCAAATTTCAAGCCTCCTGATTTTTTTTCCCCTCAAAAACATCACTGGGCATAGATATTAAAAGCATATCAGCTATCAGGGACTTTGTTGTTGTTGTTATGTGCCATCGATTTACCTGTGACTCATAGTGACCCTTTGTACAACAGCCCTGAAACCTGCTCTATCCTGTGCTAGCCTTACTGTCTTTGCACACCTACCCCCATTACCCCAGTCTCTGAATCAATCCATCTCATCGAGGGTCTTCCTCTCTTGTGCTGTCCCGCCATCCTCACATGCATGATGTCCCTCTCCAAAGACTGGTCCTTCCAGGCAACATACCTAGAGTATGTCAGACAAAGCCTCAGAATCCTTGCCTCTGAGGAGCAGCCTGCTTTCACACTCTTCTGAAAGAAACTATGTGTTCAGTACTCTTTTCCAGCACCACAGCTCAAAGGCATCAATTCTTCTATCATTTCTAGTCATTGTCCAGCTTTATGATGCATAAAAAGTAACTGCAAAAAATGTGGCCTGTATCATGTTCACCTTAGTCTCTAGACTGATGTTGTTGCTCTTCAGTACTCAGGAGAGGTCCTTGACAGCAGACTTTTCCAATGCAATTCATCTTTTGATTTCCTGGCTGCTGGTAAGAAGAGTGTTGAGTGTGGAGTCAAGTAAACTATAGCTGTTAACAACTCAGTCTCTTTACCATCTATCATAATGCTGCCAGTTGACTCAGTGGTGAATCATATCAGGGACTAGGTGCGATTAAGTCTACTGGTTAGTTGACATTTGTCTTATTTTTATATTCTCATGTGGCCCTCTTATCTAGCACTGATGACACCTCATGAAGGATCACAGTGGCGACAGCTAGCATTTATTTAGTATTTACCATGTAACAAGTACTTAACCATTTTTACACAGAATATCTCTTAGTGAAGGAGTAGTAGGAAATCAATGATGAAGAACTGAATGGTTGGTTAGTGGCTCAAGCCCCTAATCTGAACCTATCAAACATTCCCCAGGAGAAAGATGAAGCTGACTGCTTCCATAAGGAGTGCAGCCTTGAAACCCTGTGAGGCCGTTCTGCTCTATCCTGTCAGGTCATTAGGAGTTGCAGCTGACTCAATCACAATGAGGGTGGTTTGGTTATGAGTTGATGATTCCTTTCCTTTCTTCCCATAATAAGACCTTAGTGCTATTTTAGAATGAAGCGGCCCTACTCTCAGATATTAAAGCATTTTCAATTATAGTCAAGACTTTTTCACAAATGCCTCTGCTCATTTTGTAAGCCATTAATGCAGTCTCTAGCAGGGAGCCTCTTGGATAAGGAATGGATAAGGAGTTGTGCTGTCAACCCAAAGGCAGGTAGTTTGAATCCACTAGCTGCTCTAAGGAAGAAAAATGGGCAGTCTCCTCCTTTGTGTGTTGTAGCCTCTAAAAACTCTCTGTAAGGTTCACTACAAGTTGGTTCTGTCTCATTGACAATGCATTGAGTTGAGTTGATCTAACATGATAAATTTTATGATGTTATCAATGGAATTTTAGCATGATAGCTAAACGCTTAAATCTAAAACTGACTTCTGTTTGGATGACTTTCTAAATGACTTGAGAGATACCTATCCTCTTGTTTAATTGTATTAACTGATTCCCTGTTTGTCCTTCAAGAAGGTTTCAGAACGGATTGTGAATAAATTTGATTCCCTTTGATTGCCACTAGGACACTCTATGCCATCTTTCATTTTTGAAAAGTGCAGTCATCTGCTGGATGTTGCTCTTTAGCCATCATGAAAATGTCTTTGCTTCATTCATGCTTTCTTGGGTTTTAAACCTCTGGGTTAAATTACCCTCCTGGTGTAATATTTAGAGAAAAGTGTTTTATAATCTGGGCTTTTTCTTTCAGTTCCAAAGGATGTACTCCTCCCCCATAAACCAGATCCCAAGGTCTCTCAGAGTGAACCTGGTAAATGATTTCTTTTCTTTTCCCAGCTCAGAAGGATGTTTTTCAAAAAAAGCATTGAAATAAATCTCTTTTAATAGTTTGAAATAGAAGAAGTGAGGGAGAATTTATCATATATGTGAAATACATATTTCTTTGGTGGGATTATAATCATTTGGGATGTTTAAAAAACGTTTCCATGACGAGAGCATATAATTTATTTTCATAAGCGAATATTTGATGAATAAAAAATTATGCTATAATTATAGGGCATAATTATTAACTGAACTAACCACTTTCCCCTTTTAAAAATATATGAATATAGCTTGTCAGCTGTCATTACAATTGTAGGTATACTTGTAAATTCAAAATGTCAATAGGTTAAAAATAAGTCCTTAAAGTAACAGTGAATGAGAATTTTAAAGTTTTAGCAAAATTAAAATCTCTAGGTGATACCAATGATGCAGAAATTTCTAATATTTATAATGGCTGTAGGAGACTATATAAATGTACAATTAGATATGCACCTAGAAGTACAGAACTATTTTGACTTCCCCAAATAGTTAACGCTCATCAATGTCTTTTTTATTTGCTTTTTGCATAGTTCTGCAACCCGTTACCTTTAGATTTGATCTGCCAAGGACAACAATAGGTAATGGTTTTCCCCATATTGACCAAATCTACTCTTTTGTTCCTTTTGCAAGAATCCTGATTTTACACCTTTCTTGTGATCATGTGACCATCTCTTCTCAATCCATTTCATAATTTCATTCTTTTATCATTTCTCCCCTCTTTCCCCTTATTACTAGTTTTTCCAAAGTAGAAAAGCATGGCTCCCAGCTACAAATGCTTTGCTCTGAGGACCAGCTTGAAACAATTTATCACTGGGTCCATCTTAAACTACCTCATTTTAACACTTTGCTTCCATTAATTCCACCTTGTTCATGTCCATCTAGTCGCTGTTCTCTGGCCAGTTCAGTGGTTCTCATCTATAGTATTACAACGCATTGGTATGCTAGCATGATATAAAATTTGAAAGGTGCTGGGGGGGAAATGCATTCTTCATATTGATTAAAATCCTCAATTTTGCCAGTGATTTCTATTTTAAGAATGAACTTGAGAAGACCCAAGAAAATGAACCCTGTACTAGTGTTACTCTCATTTATTTTGCGATCCTGTGCTTTCTTAAAGGAGTTCTGGGAGTTTAGTCTGTATAGGGTTGTGCCGCTAACTCCACATCTCTCTGGCAGTCCAGCAACTGCTCCACATGAGAAAAATGGGGAAATAGGTCTAGAAACCCAGTGGAGCATCAGCTATGAGTCAGAACAGACTTGTTGGCTGTGGGTTTGACTTGGCTTTGCTATGACCTCTTGGGTTAGAAGAGAGAAGAAGCGAACCAGAACCTGGTCTAACTCACTTTCCATCATAACGTTGGCTCATGGACCATGTCAAACTAGAATATTGGGGTGTTGTTTTTTTTATGTGACCTAGTGGACAAACAGTTGAGAACCATTATTCTGCAGTCATTTTACTCTTCATAGTTCACTTAATGTTTTTGTTTTATTTATTTCAGTTTCAAAGGAAGTCATCTCATGTAATACCAGTCAGGCCTGGTGCTGCTTTTAAATCTAAGTCATTATCACCCTGATACTTTTCTTTTGCAGCTCCGTTAGATTCACGGCACATCCCTTTTATACCTATGATTGCACCGACTCCCAGTCAAGAAGAACTACCAACTATTCAGGGTAAACTTTTGTTTTCACATTTCTGTCCACTTCGGGCCCTTCAGAGACCTTTTATGATTTCTCCTAAAATAGTCATGTGTACATTATATTCATGTGTTATTTCTTAACCATAAAGGATCTCTCCTTTCCCTTACAAGATATATATATCACTTAATTCTTTTGCATTAACAATGTTTTTAAGATCCATACTACTTTTCTGTATAAAAGGAAAATATTTTACAGCAGTTTCATAAAATCCTAAGTCTTCTAAGGTGGGGGGGGAAGTGTCCAGAATCCATAGATGCTATAGTGTTTCTCCACATTTGAATTATTGTTGCAGTTAAACCTGCATTTAAGGTGTTACTGCATCTTTCTTGCTGAATGCTAATCAATGGAAATTAAAACAAACAAACATATCAAAACACCACAAAAAAGCCACCTTTTGCTAACAGCCCTTTCCTTGAACACCTCACCTAAATGATAGGGGTTAGTGACAGTAATGTTTCTTCTGCTTATTTTTAAAAAATGTCACACAAATTTTTGTGAGATAAGTTCATTTCTTGCGTGACCACCAGGAAAATTGAGGTAAAAGTCATTTAAAGATTTGACAAAGTTCCGATGATTAGTTTTAGAGCCAGGGTTGGAGTTATCATTATCACACACCATTATCAGTGTGTCTAGAGCTGACTGGCATTCATTCTAGACGTGAGACAATGAATGTGATAAAATAACAAGTTGAGTCAGAGGCATAAAAAATACTTCAAAGTGGAGCTGACAGCTGCACAGAGTCTGTTAGTTGGAATGAGAGTTGAAGTGTCAAGAATTCAAAAAGCCTCTCAGGTTGAAGACACGGAATGAGAAATGGCTCGGATCAATGGCAGGGAATCGTCACTGTGCCAGTTCACTTCACGGAGGAATTTTCTCTCTCATTGACTATCTTACCATGCATGATGTCGTTTTCCAGGGACTAGCCCACCTGATAACATGTCCAAAGTGTGTGATAGGAAATCTCACTATCCTTGCTTCTAAAAAGCACTTGGGCTGCACTTCGAATATAGATTGGTTGGTTCTTCTGGTTGTCCATAATATTCTTAATCTTCAATAACATCTTAAAGGCATCAATGTTCCAATTACATTTATTCATTGTCCAATTCTTTAATGCATACAAGTAACTTAAAATATCATGGCTTAGGTCAGATGCACCTTAGTCCTCTAAGTGACTGCTTTGCTTTTAAATACTTTTACGAGTCTTTAGCAGCAGATTTGCCCAACACAATATATATTGTTTGATTTCTTCACTGTTCCTTCCATGAACTTTGAATCCAAGTGAAAGAAAATACTTGACAACTTCAATCTTGCCTCTATTTATCACAATGTTGCTTGTTTGTCCAGTAGTAAGAAGTGTTATTTTATGTTAAGATGTAATTAGACTCTATTATCTTCCTCAGTAAATTTTTCAAGTCTTCTTTACTTCCAGCAAGCAAGATTATGTCATCTGCATGTCATTAATGATTGATAAATCTTTCTCTAATCCTGATGTCATCCTTCTTTTAGTGCACCTTCTATGACTATTTGCTCTACAGCTTGAATAAGTATGGTGAAAGTATCCAACATTGACATACACCAGGCTTTAAACCACACAGTATTCTCTTGTTCTATTTAGCCAATTGCATCTTTGTGTACAGGTTCTGCATGCACACCAGAGATCCTTATCATGAAAGTAAGAATGTGCAAAGACAACAAAAGCAATAGATATACAATAAACCAGAATCATTATAGTAGTACATGTGTTTAAATGCAATTTATCCTTTCACCCTTGCATGGGGAAGAAGAGAACACTACTTGGGGGTATGTTAATAACATAATTATTTGAAATTTGGTGTCTTGCTGTCCTCTTCCCCAGCAGAAACTGATCAGTCCACCCAAGAACACTTCACAACTAAGAGTCCACGAACGCGATCAACTGAATCACCAAAGACGACGCAGGGTAACACTACCTCACTACTTTCGTTTCTCTGAAAACATAACTTTTCCTTATTTGCTTTTAATTATGAAAAATATTTTCTTTTCAGGACACAATTTCTCATCATAATAAATGAGTTTGGGGTAGGGTTGATTGGTTGTTAATTTCTATTTCATCATTGTAGCACATCAGTCAAATCTGAATACTTGATAACGAATTATGAAATGAATGTAGGGAAGGCAAGTTCTTAGTTGGAACTTTGTTATTGCATGAATTGTTGGCTGCTTAATACTGGTAATTAAAAATAAAAGCTACCATTTTTTTGCTTAATTTTCATCTGCCTCATTCATTTAAAATATAATAAATGAAAATTATTATTATTATCTTTTCCTTTCCATCATTCTACTGCTCCCCTTTTTCCCTACTCCTTCTTCTATACTACTACTGTACTGGACAAACATATTGATAATATAATCTAGGAGTTCCTGGGTGGTAGAAATGGTTAGTGCATTAGGTTACTGACCAAAAAATGGTGTAGGTTCAAGCCCACTCAGGGTTGGCTTGGAAGGCTTGGTCATCAGCCATTGAAAACTCCATGGAGCACAACTGACACACATGGCGTTGCCCTGAGTGGATCAACTCCACGGCAACTGGTTAGCGTGGCTAAGAGCCTTTTAAAAAACGTATTTTCTATAATAATTGGTGTAGCTAGAGAGATTTTCTCTGAAATTTCCCACTTCAATTTCTACTTTATAAGTGTATCCTTTACAGCTGAATCTCATCTTTTTTTAAAAAAACTTACTTCTTGCTTCAACATTATAATTTAATACAGAAAGTCATGCTGACTGTGACCCACTCTTGGTCCCAACTGCTGTAAACATGTGTCTGAGCTTTCCCTGAGGAGAAGCGGACAATTTGCTACTTGTTTGTTTTGTAGTTTTAATGTTGAAGAATTGGACGCACAAGCCAACCCACCATATCTGAGAGTCGATGACTCCTCTCAGTCTTCACACATTACCCCTTGTGTGTACCATGACCCGTAGAGTTTTCTTTATCCCACAGCCCCAGTTCTAAGTCTCTGGTGCTTTGAGGGAGTTTGACATCTAGATTACTGAGTACAGCGTGAATCCTCTAGTGGGATCTCAAACACTTTTTCTCAGCAGCACCCTTGTTCTTGTACCTTCTAAATCACTTTCCATATAGGAAACTACAACTAAAACACTGAACTATTCAAGCTTCTCACACTTGCCTTCTAATCTTGATCCGCAGCTAAAATCCACTTAGCCAAAGGCATTTAAGGACATTTTGTTTCTTTCCTTGTCCTTGTGGTGGTGTAGTGGTAAAGGTATTGTGCTGCTAATCCAAAGGCACATGGTTTGAATCTATGAGTTGCTTCACAGAAGAAAGAAGACTATTCCCTTCCCATGTGATTAATTGCCTCTGAAAACCAGTTGTCGGGTCAGCTATGAGTCAGTTAGAACTCAATGTCACATAACAAAAATCCATACAGGAAGCAGTAGGTTCTTCTTCCTCTTTCTTTCTACTGGGCAGATGTCTTCAAGGTGTTCCTCTTGTAAGGCTTGTATATTTATTTTGTTGTTGTTGTCTTCTCTTCCTACAGTTTTAAAAAGATTTTTTAGTAGCCTTTTCTATATATGAAGTCATCTTTTACATTCTTTTTGGTCACAACATACTATGAAGATAATGTATACTTAGTTATATTGGCACAAAGCTTCTTCATTTTTTTTTTTATTATTTCAATTGAAACCCTAGAGCAGTTTTCTCAAGAGCAGATGTTGTTACAGATTAAGAGCTGTATGAGTAACAGCCTAAAGATAAATTATGCTCCAGCTGTTTTAGAAAACATTTCTTCTAAATCTACGTACATCCCATAGGAAAGCTTAAAATCAAACGTCTTTGATTCTGTCTTTTTGAAATCTTGAATGAAGCACTCATTGTTTCTGTGTTCTGCTCAAAGTCTGTCTTTTAAATAGTAATAATTTCTGTGGTGGTTGTTCAAAGGTGTCTTTTCTTTTAATACCAAGTTTTGTATTCTTGTATATTCTCGAATGGACCTAATAAGAACCACGATTCTTGTGTTTGATTGTTTTAACTAAATGCAATTTCACATTGGAAGGGATTTATATGGAAATGTAGACTAGATTAATTTGACAAGGACTCCATCTACCCTCAGAGAAATGAAACAAAAACATCTGCACATCATCCACATATATGTTAAACTCTTCAAGAATTAATTTGTATAACATCAGTAAGTCTGTCCTCTATTTATTGCATTTTGTAAGGTCTCTCTAAAACTATAGAGAATGTCAATATTAGTCTGCTATTTTTGGCTTGAAGTATGGCAAAATTCTTCATATCACAGTCTTTACATTGGAAGCTTATAAATGAGCTACATTATGATGACCTACTTCACAGGTGTATTTTTTTAATTTTAACTTGGGAGGCAGAGTCACAGCTGATTTATGGCTATATAAATAACCACTCAGAAGTGTGAACAAACCATTGAACTGGGTCATCTACTTACATCATTTGCAAGAAAAAAAATTTTTCTATCCCAACTGATGCATTCCCTAGAGAGTTAGTAGCAAGAGGCTGTGTCATGTGTTGTTGGCTGCAGAGGAGAGCCCGGATGGGATGGACAAATTCTTCCAGGATAAATACACACACACACACACACCTGTCTATAGGAAGCAAAACCAATTTAGCTCAGCAGATTTTCTCAAGAATTTGTCTGTTTATAATGGCCATTCATTCACTCATTCATTTATTCAACTAGCCTTCACTGGGAGCCCTCAGGGTGCCAGTCAGTGTTCCAGACCTGAGTTATAGAAATAGACGGTGGCCAGGCAGCAGGAAGCATTCTTGTTCCACACTCACCTGCTCTTGATGGGCAGGGAACATGAGGTCATTGTCTATTATTCCTAAAGTTTTATAGCACTAAGAATGAGTGTTTATTCTTTTCAGAATTTACAAGTACACATAATTTTACAGAGACTACACATTTCTACTCTTTCAATTTGCCTGTCTAAATTTATGGTTTTGCCTCTAAGATTGATTATATTCTTTGATAAAATACTGTGCATGATGACTCCTAATAGAGACGCAGATGGATAATGGGTGAATATTCTTACCATGTTGAGCAAACACCTGACTATAAATATATGCTCTTGAAGAACATGAACTAAATTCTGACTAATCTTTAGCACATATTACAAACGGCCTACCTCAATCTGCCTACTTGAATTTTGAGCTTCCAATCATGAATGCTTTTACTTGTTTTGTTTTCCTTTAGCTTGAGTGCCATAAGGCATAACTAGAGGCTTCAGAACATTTCCTCTACTTCCACGAGAAACATGCAAATTGTTGATGCCTGGTGCCACATCCTCCTTTTCACGGATTTTGACATTTCAGTGTTTCCTCTGTTTCAGCACCACGTAGATTATACACGACTCCTGTGAGGCCCAGAACAACTGAAAAACCACAAATCAAGCATGGTAAGTAGTTTCTTTTTCTCAGATAACCTATATAACCAACAGGACTAGGGAAGACATAAACTGTGTTCAGAAAGTAAGTGTACAAAAGGGGAATAGATAGTCTAGTTGTAACGAAAGCAATACAGAATTTATGAGGATGGGATATGCAGTAATGAATCCAAACACTTAATTTGAGCATTTTGAAAGATTGTTAGATTCAGAAACCACTATAGAACTTGATCAAAAACCTGAGAGATAGAAAAATTATTTTTAAAATAATATTTGTGTGTAAGTCATACACATGTGGACATTTCTCATTTTCTATGCCACGTATAGCAATAACATAGGACTAGGTTTGTTGTGATACTTAATGTTTACTGTTTGGTATTAGTGAGTCATTTCCAACTCACTACAATCCTATGTACAACACAGCAAAATACCGATTAATCTAGTGTCATCCTCACAAGGGATTTGTTTGAGCCTCCACTATACAGACACTGTGTCTGTCATTTCATTGAGGATCTTCATTTTGAACTCATTGTTGTACCAAGCATGATATGCTTCTCTAAGGTCTAGGCCTTCATGATCACATGTAAAATAATACATGAGATGAAATCTTATCATCCTTCAAAGGAGTGCTCTAGCTATACTTCCTCCAAGACTGATTGGTTTGTTCTTTGGGCCGCCTGCATTATAGTCAGTATTCTTTGTCAACACCTTAATTCAAATCAATTGCTCTTTAGCCATCTGTATGCATCTTCCCGCTATCCCATGTATGGCTACAGGTCGGATGCAACTTAGTCCTTAAAGTGATATTTTTGCTTTTTAACATTTTCAAGAAGTATCTTGTAGCAGATTTTCCCCAATGCAATAATTTGGGGTTTAAAATAATGTTATTGGTTTGCATGCAATCATTCATATACATTGTGTTTTATACATACATTTTGTATTTATATGTTCATATACATTGTGTTTCATCTACGTACACTGAACTTAATACAGTCATTCATATAAAATATTCATTGTGTTGTATATCATTAATTACCATTGACTACGCCTATTATCATTTCTGTACATTTATAGAGTTTATAGAGTTTCCAGAGGCATCTGGTTTAGGAAGTGGGTGCCACTCCTGCTTCCCAACCTGAATCAATCTGGAAGCTCCTACAAACATTGTACGTAATGGGTAACCATTATGGTATTTGACACAACTATGGCACAGTGTTCAGCATCACAGCAACTCCAAGTTATTCAGTATAGAAAATAGACAAATGATTGCTTTATCACTTAAAGAAAGTTCATTCTAAAATTAATGAATTTGGCCTGAAGGTTGCAGTAGCACACATCAAACGCAACCCAAAAACTTCCCTTATGCAACCACCATCAAGTCCAAAACAGGTTTGGAAGCAGGAGTGGCATCCACATGCCTCTGGAAACTCTATAAACTTGGAAAAAGGATGATAGTTATGGAAAGGCATTAGGTCTTTTGTTTATAGAGTCGCCATGGGTCATGCTCAGCTCAATAGCAGTCAACAACAACAACAATGCCTATCATCGCCTGGTGTTTTCTAGTCCCCATTCCCCTGTCCCAATCCTCCACCCATCAATCTCTGCCATTCCACCTTTTTTTTCCTCCTCCCCCTTTTTGCTCCTCTTCTCTCCTTCTCTATCCTCTTTTGGACATATATACATATCTTACTTAGTTAATCTCCTATTTTCACTAAGTCCTTTTCCTGTGCTGTCCACCCACCCTTCTGAGCATGATGTCCTTCTCCAAGGACCAATCTCTCCTGGCCATGTGCCCAAAGTAAGTGAGGCGGAGCTTCAAAATCCTAGCCTCCAAGGAGAGACTTGGTTTTACACTCTAAAGACACCTATCTTTTCTTGCCAGTCCATAGGGATTATATCCTGCTGCCAACCTGAATTGTAGCTTAACTTCCCAAATAAACTGCATAACCATGGGAAAAATACATTGGGAAAGACTTTAAATTGACTAAATTTTACAAAGATTATAGGGTCTTCTTCACTGATACTTTCTGGCAAAAGTTAACCTACAGAAAGTTACCTGGTTCCTGTCAATTGCCAGTCACTTACACACAAGTAGAACCAAAGACTCAAGTGTTGTTTTCTGCCCTACTTATCTAAGAAGTCTTATTAAAGTTCTCAATGACAGGACTGACGTGATGAGTGTTCATGTGAACACATGTGAATATGTACACATGGAAGAACAAATCATTTTTGTACCTTCTACTTTATGAACAGCTCACATTTTGACCATAATAATCCTCCAATTATTAAATGTAATTAAACACAAATGTCTTATCATGGTAACCATTGAGAGCTGCGTATATTTCTGGTTATATTCAACATCTCTCAGAAAAAAAACCACCCACATAATAATAACAAAAATGGTAGCACTGACTATTGGCCATCTGTCTAAAGAGAGATAGCTGAGGAAGCTTGGACACTAGTGGTAGCTAGAAAAATAGGTTCAGAGAGTCCAGTTCCAGAACATGCACTTTAATTACTTTAAAATAATTAAGTATGCTAAATTTTTATCTTTTTTAAAGAATATCCTACATGGAGGATAAAATTCATGACTTCTTAAACTCTGAATAATCCTGCAGCTCACTGCACAGTAAAAGATACATTAAAAGAATATCACCTGGAGGAACTCTGGTGGCCTAGTGGCAAGAAGCTGCACTGCAATCCCAGAGGAACACGGTTCGAATCCACCAGATGCTCTGCCAGAGAAGGAGGCGCAATATCCTCCTGTACCAGTCAGATCTGATTTGACAGTACAAGCACACAAAATAATAAAATAAAAAAAAAGAATATCACCTGATACTTTATTTAATTATAGACTTACACTAGAACTATCATAAGGGAATGTCTATGCCTAGAGACTTTTACAAAAAGACAATAAATGTGGGAGTTGTGAGTTAAGGTCTTGATATTTCAGATTTTTGTTTCACATTAGTATATGCAATCTGCATCTCTCCTTAATTTTGGAGTGTATCTAAATGCTTATAAATAGAGCAAGATGTTAGTAATTTAGAATTATAAATTACTTGCTAATTATTCATTTAGGTCAGGTATTGAAGCTCAGTGTTAGCTCAGAATTTAAAGTCGAGTCTCTACTCCCACACTCAAGTCTATGAATTTTAAACTAAAACTGACTTCTATATTCTGAATGATATTTTGGTAAGCCATCTTTTTATGTCTATTATTTTTCTCTAGTAAATGACTTAGCTTTTTTCTGAGAAGTTCTGTTGTCCTTGGTTACAGAGGCTTCATAAGAAAATGTCTGAATGATTGATTTCCCACTTTATTGTAGTCACAACTAAGACAACCGCAAAACCTAGAGGGAAACCCAGTGGAAGACCCACAGAGAATGGAGTGAAGACAGGTAATGTCTGCAAATATATTTCCTCTCTGTCCTCTCAAAGCTATAAATGTAATTACTTCGTCTCTAAAATTCCACTACACATTTCAATTTCTTTTATATAATTTTGTAATTTCTTAATATAACTGGAATAAGTAGCAGTAAGTTTATCCAATACAGGAAGTTCAGATGGCTCCAAAAGCTTTAATGAAGATTTTTCCACTTTTCCAAACTCTGTCTACTAAATAAACTATAATATCTTGATTTTTTTAAAAAATATTCTGAATATGCATTATTGAACAAAAAGAATCAAAACAGCTCTTTTCTCTAACCTCAAGACACTTTTCATGCAAAGGTGTGATCTTTCCGACTATAATTACTTTGTTTTCAAGATAGAATCCCATAGGAACACTAATTTTCCTCCACAAATGACAAGTACTTCTTAGCAATATGGAATAAAATGAATAAACAATAAAAATAAAACTTAATCTGGAAAAATTAGTTACAGTCATATATGAATAATGTTCCCAAATCACTCAGCCTTAATAAGTGATCCAGTTGGCTTTGTGAGATTAGACACTACACAGGTAACTGGACACTGATCTGGTCACAGTATAAACATGAAACTCACCAAGTGGTTGAATGGTAGTCACTACATGCTTTTAATATGGGAATGTAGCTTTCCCTTGTACTAGCTCTGGGGTTGAGTGGTGAGAAGCTGTACTGTAATCCCAGATGCACACAGTTCAAATCCATGTCACATGCTCCACAGAAGAAAGAGGGACATTCTCTTCCCAAGTGATTAACTGCCTTTGAAAATCCAATAGAGGGTCAGCTATGAGTCATATCTGGATTGATGGCACACAATAGTAACAACAATTTTTTTAATGGTACAAACCAGATGCTTGCTAATGTAAAAAGCATAAAAATGTAATGCACATATATCTTTAATCAAACCATGATGATTCTCTAATGCAAAAAAGATGTTAATAATGCCTATAAATGTTTAGTCTAAAAGTAATTTGGATTTGCTTTATAATGTATTGTGTCATTTTACTTGATGATGACATTGTCTAAAGTTCTAGGAATTCACTTCTCTTTAAACCAAGTAATGAGGCCAATGCTATAAATTCCTGACTCATGCAAAGCAAGCAAGCATCCCATTTTCCATTTGTGCTCAACTGTGCTTTGTCTCTTTCCCAACTGTAGGATTAAGCTTCACATAGTTTCTCACATTCACATAAACAATCTGTCTCTAAATAAAGCCGCTTTCTGTAAGATGTTTCTAAGAGGAAAAATAGGTGCAAATGTTTTTAATATGTAAAGTAACTCCCTGAAAGTTGTATGAGCAAAAATAGAATTAAGTATATATCAACAAAGTAGATAAAAGAACAAGAAAAATAGCTGTGATCAAACTTAAAAGCTAATAACGTTCAGATTTATTTCATTCTTCAAATTGTGTGACCATTCCCACTGTTCCTTTCTAAAGCTAACATAAACTCCCTGCTCCTGAAGTTTCCTATCTAATCTTTCAAGTTATTGCTGTCTATTTGATCTCCTATAGACACTCAAGCAATGCTTAGGTGAAAAATATTTTACTAACTGTGACATGGGATATATAGGGAGCTCTAGTGGCTTAGAGGCAAGAAGCTGTGCTGCAACCCCTAAGGCACCTTGTTCGAGACCACCAGCTGCTCCATGGGAGAAGGGTGGGCGATCTTCTCCCATGCAATTAACTGCCTCTGAAAACCTGCTGAAGGGGTTAGCTATGGGTTGGTTTTGACTCTGTGGTACACAAAACAAATTATTATTATTTGATTTTAAGATGATTTAGGGATATTTTTGGTTTAAAGTGTAAAGGTTATTTCAGGTTAATAATTTTTGGAATACATACAGCCTCCATCACTCTAGAAAGTCTGTATTTCAGGAGAATTAAAAATTATTTTCTCCTTTTTGATTCAGATTATTCATAGAATCTTTGATTTAAAAAATGTCAGTAATGGTAACCAGATCCTACTCATTTTTTATCTCATTGGCAAAGGTAGAAGATGTTCATGAAGTAATTAATCCTACATTTTATTTCTTCCTCCTAATCCCAATTCTCCTCCTCCTTTTGTAGTTTCAGGTGAATACAAACCATTTCTACCGTGGATGATGACTTTGAAGCTTTTAAAACCTGTTGCTCTGTAATTGTGTAGGAGTAGTGCACATGATGTCAGTCAGCCCATCAGTCTTAATGATAATTTCTATGTCAATTGATTCCATGTCTAAACATACCTCTTTATTATACTTATGAGCTACATTTCCCCATAGCTTTTCTTACTGAATTGTACAGCTCAGACATTTCACATTATAAAAAGTCAGAAAGATACTATAACAATAGTCTTCCTGATGTTACACACTCTTGGAAATCTGGGGAGAGAAAGAAAAAGAATTCTGAGGCCCCAAGCATATGACTCCTAGACTACTAGGGCCTATACCAAAAAATGTTGCAATAATTCCATTGTGGTTGTTAGTGGCTATCAAGTTGATTTCTACTTGTGTTAGAGAGTAGAACTTCACTAGAGGGTTTTCTCTGTAATGAGGTAGTCTTGATAGGAGCAGGTTAAGCTTTGTCTTTTGTGAGTCTGCTTTGGGGTAAGTCAAGTGCAAACCATTTGTCTCTCCTAAGAAATTTGTAATGTATTTTTAGACGTTAGAACATTTAAACCATCTTGAGTTCATTTTCTTATTTCCTATTTCATAATACCATTAAAGATATTCTCTCCATACTTTATGTATATTTCACAATTATGTATATCAATATTCCTCTACCTTTAGGAAGTAGCCTGCAAAGCCCAAGATTTTGTTTTCCAGCACTGCTTTTTTATTATTACTATTAATTTTAATGAACATTTACAGATATTTTGGATTTTCATTTATTCATTGTTACACTTTTCTCCCTGCCCTTCCTCCCCATTCACTCTTCTCTTTCAAAAGTAAAGGAAAAATTCCTTCATTGGTATACAATCCCCCCCGCAACACCCCTGCCCCGGCCGCCCCAAGTATACTCCACTCTGCAACCTTCATTCCGAACTCTTATGATAATCCTAATACCATATAATATATTGCTTTTGAACTGTTCTCTCCCTCATCCATTTCAATGCAGTATACATAATTTATCCAGTTTTTCTCATCTTAACCCAACCCTGATGTCAGTCCCATTCTACAACAGTGGCACTGTGCAGTGTTTGCCCTTTTGTGACTGAGCTCTCTCACTCAGCATAATGTCCTCCAGGGTCACCCATTTTGAACAATATTGCATGAGTTCCTTGTTTTTCAACGTAGCATAGTATTCCATTATGTGAATATACCACAGCTTCTCTATCCATTAATTTGTTGATGGGCACTTAGGTTGTTTCCAGCTCCTTGCTATTGTGAACAAAGCCGCGATAAACATGGGTGTCCATATATCTGCTTGGATGTCGGTTATGGTCTCTTTAGGGTATATTCTCAGTAATGGAATTGCTGGTATCTCTATTTGTAACTTTTTGAGAAAGCACCACACCACTTTCCACAGTGGTTGCACCATTTTACACTCCCACCAAGAGTGAATAAGGGTTCCAGTCTCTCCACAACCTCACCAGCATTTGTTGCTTGCTGTTCTTTTAAATTTTGCTAGTCTTACTGGGGTGAGATGATATCTTATAGCTGTCTTGCACTGCTTTTAAGGGCTTCAGAGATGTGCCTCAGCTTAGCTTGTGTGACTGATATATCTGCAGAGATACAAAAAAATCATACACTAGATCAGGGTCAACAAACTATATCTCAACAGGCAAATCTGACTTATCACCTGCTCTTGTAAACAGGTCTTTATTACAATCTAGCTTGCTTTGCCAATACAATGACAGATTGCTTAGTTATGCTAGAGACAGTATGACCCACAAAGCTGAAAATATTTACTCTCTGGTCCTTTATGGAAAAAGTATGCCAAATTCCATTTTTTTCCTTGCAAAAGAAAGTTGTTGAATTGAATAGCTATTCTTTGATTTATTTCTTCATTTATTGAAGGCCCATTGTGTTCCAAGCAGTGTGTCATTTTGAAAACTACCTTGACATATGTGATTTGACAGATGTGGCAAATTCCTGAATCCCAGACTCCTTTCTCTGTTTTCTAATGAGAAAACCACATATACTTTACTATCTCTGACTGGGGTGTGCTTGACACACAGCTTAAGGAATGTGTTTTTCTTTGCTGTGAAGATTCTTGAGGAATCTTCCAGTCTGTTGACTTTTTCATTTCTTTCTATCCAGGTGTCAAGATTTAGGAATAAAGATTATCTTTAAATACTATCCTATCTTTGGTCACAGGCTATGGATTCTCTAATACACTTGAAAATGACATTTCAGAACATTTATTTGCTTTTGAAAATGGATTTTTTTTCTTCAATTCAAATTTATTTGAAAATTGATGTCCAGTTTAAACTGTTTGGTAGCAAAATTTTTGTTACTAAGTATTAAAATGTTCAAATTGTTAATTCACTGTTGACATGAAATTGCTAAGAAATGAACTATGCAAATTTAGAGATTTATTTTTGAGAGGTCCCATGTGCCAGTTGGGACTCAGAGTTTTAGTAACTTCCAGAGCCTACTCTGCCCTTTAGACAATATGTTGATTAATCCTGCCTGAGGGAGAGGAATTCAGGTCAGAGCCTGGGCCACACAGGCTGAAAGGGTGCCAATTTCTGAGGATTCTTTCTCTGAAGTATTGCTCTCATTGTCTTCTTCCTTTTATTTCCATTGCCTCTATGCTGCCTCTACTTTTTATTTGTTCTGCTCCATCCAGTGTAAAGCAACAGACAGACACTTCACTGATTTCCACACCTCTGACACTCACATTGCTGACCTGCTGATGCATCTAAGCCCCTGATATACAGAGGCAGGGCCAGAACTAGAGCTGTCCTTTGCATGCAAGCTCAGGGACCTTTCCCTTGTGTGCCAAGGCTGCCTGCTACAGACCCTCTTCTTTACTTATTTTAACCTAC